TGTCAGATTTACCAAAAATCTGTCAGATTTACCAAAAATCTGTCAGATTTACCAAAAATCTGTCAGATTTACCAAAAATCTGTCAGATTTACCAAAAATCTGTCAGATTTACCAAAAATCTGCCAAATTTTCCAGAATCACTCGAAAATACACTAAAAACACTTTAAATCACATGCAGATGTTGTAATATTGCCTAAATTAATGTTCGAATTACATTATAAACAATCTATAGCCACATAAAAGATATGAAATTGCGTAAATTTCAGGCAAAACACGGTCGCGTCACGACAAACTCAGGTTCGCAGTGAACTTCAGCAGCTAGACTAGGCAACCTGTCCTATTTTGCAAGGGTTTCTATGAAAAGAATGAAGCTTTTGTAACCAAATGTACCAATTTTTTTTTGCAAATTTGCTGTTTTTCTGTCAACTAGCCATTTTTGCAGAATTCTGCCAGAAATCTGCCAAAAAAAATCTATTGTCAAATTTCTGTCGAACTCGTTTTTTTAACAAAAATTCTGTCAAAATAAGCCGAAAATCTGCTAAAACGGTCACTACAGCAGCGAAATCACAGCGTTATCCATTGAACAGCGCCCTCTCGTACATGTCGTAAGGCTTGTGCAGCTATGTGCATGCAGTGGGCACCGAGCGCATAATTATGGGACGATACGTAGGGGCTCATTTTTAAATTTAGGGCGGGAAGAGGCTTTTTGAAAAGAAGTGGGCTCCTGTACCTTTTAGTGCACTGTCAGTGTTTCTCAGTGGCGCAGGTCTTTTGACCTTGGTGATATGCACTTTATGTGGCCTATTTTCGAGTAGTATAACAGCTAGGGGTGTAAGTGGAGCAATTAATAGGGTGTAAAGTGGCGCTACTTGATCATTGCTTTCAAGTGGTTTACTTGATCGTTGCTTTCAGGTACAATGGACTATTACTCACTCATAGTCACCTTCCTGAGAGTCAAGGAAACCAAGACATGACTTAGTCTTCCCATTGTAAACTTACATGTTTTGTTTATTTCAAAGACATCCAGTTTTCCACCAGTATACAAGAACTGCCCTGAGCAGTTCCTCACTCTATTTCATTCAACCTGTTCATTCAATTTCAGCTTCTCACTCAGTTAAACTCATTAGTTCAATCGATTTAATTTTTGTGACAGTTCGCTTTAACGAGTTTAGTTAATCAATGCATATTAAAATATTGTTGGGGAATAAAGATGGTCACGATAAACACAGTCCTCAACCAAAGAATTGTATTTGAACTTACCCAACAATATTAAAGGGGCACATTGCATTCCAAACTAGACAGCTTTAAGCAGTGAAGGCTTTAGTTTTGTAGTTATAACATCTGTAGAGAAAATTTCCCAAAGCATAACAACACGTTTAATGCTAAAAATACATTGTCAAATTTATTGTTACAAAATGCTAGCTAAAGAGTCCATCTGAATAATGTAATCACTGGCATGTCTGCTTACAGATGAAAAGATTGATTTGCACATGTATCAGTCCTGTACCCATGTCAAATACACAACTGCACTTTAACGAAATATCATTGTTTTATCAAGTTCACAACGGCAACCACAGTGATAAAAATTCTTTAATTACAGAGTATTTCACAAATTTCCCCTCCCAACAAGAATTCAATGTAACCTTATCTTCCACAATTTATTTTGAGGTTGAACTAAAAAGCATTCAGAGAGTGCAAACATCTGCGCTGCCAAGGCTGAACAATTCTTCGCAAATGACTAGAGTTTTTTTTTAAACCTTTGTTTCGGCTTCGGCTTCACCTCCTACTTCTGAATCACTGAGAGGCAAACTAAACGAAAACATTCCAACTTTTGTCTTCATATCAACCGATTGAATGTTCCTGAAGCATAACAGGCACCAAAATGTAGCTGGAGTCCCCGAAGTCGGGGCCTAAAATGTCATTCAGCCGAAGACGACGCCAATGCCAGTCGTTTGGGAAAAGGCTCTACGACCTGTCATACACAATGCTGGCATATTACACCAGTGTGCCTTCATTCATGTATGTGTAGACTGTATAAGGCTATGGAGTACCGAAGTGTGACGTCATTCAGAAAGTGCAGTGCAAACCATGGTGCAAACTAATTAATGGAGTACGCACCCGTGTTGGTTCACGGGCTGAATCACGCGTTAATGTCTTTCACACACATTTTGTGCGCGTGACGTATTCACTTCAATACTCCATTCCACAGGTCTGACAAGCAAATTCCCCATTTACTAGTGTGTACAATGTCATGAGCTTGATTATGTCATAGCTGCATGGGTAAAAATGCTTTTCCCTGAACAGGTTTCACAACTGAACAAATGGTTTCTCACCCGTATGCACCCTGTAATGATTGCGTAGACTACTTTTCGCAGTAAAGGCTTTACCACAGGTCTCACAAACAAATGGTTTCTCACCAGAATGCACCCTGTCATGTAAGCGTACACTACTTTTGTCGGTAAAGGTTTTACCACAGGTCTCACAAACAAATGGTTTCTCACCCGTGTGCACCCTGTCATGTTTGCGTAAACTACTTTGACGTGCAAAGGCTTTCCACAGGTCTTACAAACAAATGGTTTCTTTCCAGTGTGCACCCTGTCATGTATGAGTAGACTACTTTTGTCAGTAAAGGTTTTACCACAGGTCTCACAAACAAATGGTTTCTCACCCCTGTGCACCCTGTCATGTTTGCGTAAACTACTTTGACGTGCAAAGGCTTTCCACAGGTCTTACAAACAAATGGTTTCTTTCCAGTGTGCACCCTGTCATGTATGAGTAGACTACTTTTGTCAGTAAAGGTTTTACCACAGGTCTCACAAACAAATGGTTTCTCACCCGTGTGCACCCTGTCATGTTTGCGTAAACTACTTTGACGTGCAAAGGCTTTTCCACAGGTCTTACAAACAAATGGTTTCTTTCCAGTGTGCACCCTGTCATGTATGCGTAGACTACTTTTGTCAGTAAAGGTTTTACCACAGGTCTCACAAACAAATGGTTTCTCACCCCTGTGCACCCTGTCATGTTTGCATAAACTACTTTGACGTGCAAAGGCTTTTCCACAGGTCTTAAAAACAAATGGTTTCTTTCCAGTGTGCACCTTTTCATGTGTGCGTAAATTACTTTTCTCAGTAAAGGCTTTACCACAGGTCTCACAAACAAATGGTTTCTCACCAGTGTGCACCCTGTCATGTATGCGTAAATTACTTTTCTCAGTAAAGGCTTTACCAAAGGTCTCACAAACTAATGGTTTCTCACCAGTGTGCACCTTTTCATGTGTGCGTAAATTCCTTTTCTCGGTAAAGGCTTTACCACCGGTCCCACAAAATGGTTTCTCAACAGTGTGCACCTTTTCATGGGTGCGTAAATGACTTTTCAGTGTAAAGGTTTTACCACAGGTCTCACAAACAAATACCAGTATGCACCTTTTCATGTGTACCTAAATGACTTTTCTGTGTAAAGGTTTTACCACAGATCTCACAAACAAAGGGTTTCTCACCAGTGTGCACCCTTTCATGTATGCATAAATCACCTCTCTGTCTAAAGTCTTCACCACAGGTCTCACAAACAAATGGTTTCTCACCAGTGTGCAACTTTTCATGTGTGCGTAAAGAACTTTTCTGTCTAAAGGTTTTACCACAGATCTCACAAAGTGTTTCTCACCAGTATGCACCCTTTCATGTATGCATAAATCACCTCTCTGTCTAAAGGCTTTACCACAGGTCTCACAAACAAATGGTTTCTCACCAGTGTGCAACTTTTCATGTGTGCGTAAAGAACTTTTCTGTGTAAAGGTTTTACCACAGATCTCACAAACAAAGGGTTTCTCACCAGTGTGCACTCTTTTATGTTTGCATAAATTATCTCTCCGCGAAAAGCCTCTACCACAGGTCTCACAAACAAATGGTTTTTCGCCAGTGTGCACCCTTTCATGAATGTGTAAACTACCTTGATGTGTAAAGGCTCTACCACAGGTCTCACAAACAAATGGTTTTTCGCCAGTGTGCACCCTTTCATGTATACTTAAATCACCTCTTAGTCTAAAGGCTTTACCACAGGTCTCACAAATGTTTCTCACCAGTGTGCTCCCTTTGATGTATGCGTAAAGTACATTTCTGTGCAAAGGCTTTACCACAGGTCTCACAAACAAATGGTTTCTCACCAGTGTGCACCCTTTCATGTAAGCTTAAATTACCTCTCTGTCTAAAAGCTTTACCACAGGTCTCACAAACAAATGGTTTATCACCAGTGTGAACACTTTCATGTGTGCATAAATTGCATTTTTGTTTAAAGGCTTTACCACAGGTCTCACAAACAAATGGTTTCTCACCAGTGTGTACTCTGTCATGTTTGCATAAATCACTTTTCGTTAGGAATGCTTTACCACAGGTCTCACAAACAAATGGTTTCTCACCAGTGTGCACCTTTTCATGTAAGCTTAAATGCCTTTTCTGTGTAAAGGCTTTACCACAGGTCTCACAAACAAATGGTTTATCACCAGTGTGCACCCTTTCATGTATGCATAAATCACCTCTCTGTCTAAAGTCTTTACCACAGGTCTCACAAACAAATGGTTTCTCACCAGTGTGCAACTTTTCATGTGTGCGTAAAGAACTTTTCTGTCTAAAGGTTTTACCACAGATCTCACAAACAAAGTGTTTCTCACCAGTGTGCACCCTTTCATGTATGCATAAATCACCACTCTGTCTAAAGGCTTTACAACAGGTCTCACAAACAAATGGTTTCTCACCAGTGTGCAACTTTTCATGTGTGCGTAAAGAACTTTTCTGTGTAAAGGTTTTACCACAGATCTCACAAACAAAGGGTTTCTCACCAGTGTGCACTCTTTTATGTTTGCATAAATTATCTCTCCGCGAAAAGCCTCTACCACAGGTCTCACAAACAAATGGTTTTTCGCCAGTGTGCACCCTTTCATGAATGTGTAAACTACCTTGATGTGTAAAGGCTCTACCACAGGTCTCACAAACAAATGGTTTTTGGCCAGTGTGCACCCTTTCATGTATACTTAAATCACCTCTTAGTCTAAAGGCTTTACCACAGGTCTCACAAATGTTTCTCACCAGTGTGCTCCCTTTGATGTATGCGTAAAGTACATTTCTGTGCAAAGGCTTTACCACAGGTCTCACAAACAAATGGTTTCTTACCAGTGTGCTCCCTTTGATGTATGCGTAAAGTACATTTCTTTGCAAAGGTTTTACCACAGGTCTCACGAACAAATGGTTTCTCAACAGTGTGCACCCTTTCATGTATGCTTAAATTACCTCTCTGTGTAAAGGCTTTACCACAGGTCTCACAAACAAATGGTTTCTCACCAGTGTGTACTCTGTCATGTTTGCATAAATCACTTTTCGTTGGGAATGCTTTACCACAGGTCTCACAAACAAATGGTTTCTCACCAGTGTGCACCCTTTCATGTAAGCTTAAATTACCTCTCTGTCTAAAAGCTTTACCACAGGTCTCACAAACAAATGGTTTATCACCAGTGTGAACACTTTCATGTGTGCATAAATTGCATTTTTGTTTAAAGGCTTTACCACAGGTCTCACAAACAAATGGTTTCTCACCAGTGTGTACTCTGTCATGTTTGCATAAATCACTTTTCGTTAGGAATGCTTTACCACAGGTCTCACAAACAAATGGTTTCTCACCAGTGTGCACCTTTTCATGTAAGCTTAAATGACTTTTCTGTGTAAAGGCTTTACCACAGGTCTCACAAACAAATGGTTTCTCACCAGTGTGCACCCTTTCATGTATGCATAAATCACCTCTCTGTCTAAAGTCTTTACCACAGGTCTCACAAACAAATGGTTTCTCACCAGTGTGCACCTTTTCATGTAAGCTTAAATGACTTTTCTGTGTAAAGGCTTTACCACAGGTCTCACAAACAAATGGTTTCTCACCAGTGTGCACCCTTTCATGTATGCATAAATCACCTCTCTGTCTAAAGTCTTTACCACAGGTCTCACAAACAAATGGTTTCTCACCAGTGTGCAACTTTTCATGTGTGCGTAAAGAACTTTTCTGTCTAAAGGTTTTACCACAGATCACACAAAGTGTTTCTCACCAGTGTGCACCCTTTTATGTATGCATAAATCACCTCTCTGTCTAAAGGCTTTACCACAGGTCTCACAAACAAATGGTTTCTCACCTGTGTGCAACATTTCATGTGTGCGTAAAGAACTTTTCTGTGTAAAGGTTTTACCACAGATCTCACAAACATAGGGTTTCTCACCAGTGTGCACTCTTTTATGTTTGCATAAATAATCTCTCCGCGAAAAGCCTCTACCACAGGTCTCACAAACAAATGGTTTTTCGCCAGTATGCACCCTTTCATGAATGTGTAAACTACCTTGATGTGTAAAGGCTCTACCACAGGTCTCACAAACAAATGGTTTTTCGCCAGTGTGCACCCTTTTATGTATACTTAAATCACCTCTCAGTCTAAAGGCTTTACCACAGGTCTCACAAACAAATGGTTTCTCACCAGTGTGCACCCTTTCATGTATGCTAAAATAACCTCTCTGTATAAAGGCTTTACCACAGGTCTCACAAACAAAGGGTTTCTCACCAGTGTGCACCCTTTCATGTTCCCGTAAACTACATTTCAGGTTAAACCCTTTACCACAGGTCTCACAAACAAATGGTTTCTCACCAGCGTGCACCCTTTCATGAATGTGTAAACTACCTTTACGTGTAAAGGCTTTACCACAGGTCTCACAAACAAATGGTTTCTCACCAGTGTGCACCCTTTCATGAATGTGTAAATTACCTTTATGTGTAAAGGCTTTACCACAGGTCTCACAAACAAATGGCTTCTCGTTAGTGTGCACCCTTTCATGTATGCATAAATTACCTTTCTGTTTAAAGGCTTTACCACAGGTCTCACAAACAAATGGTTTATCACCAGTGTGAACACTTTCATATATGCAAAAATGACCTTTCCGTGTGAATGCTTTACCATAGGTCTTACAAACAAATGGTTTCTCGTTAGTGTGCACCAATTCATGTATGCGTATTTTGCTTTTCTCAGTAAAGCCTTTACCACAGATCTCACAAAGAAATGGTTTCTCACCAGTATGTACCCTGACATGGATGCATAGTTCACCTTTGAATACAAAGGCTTCACCGCATTTCTCGCAAACAAAGGGTTTCTCAGCAGTGTGTCTCCTGTTATGTTTTCGTAGATGACTTCGCACTGTAAAGGTTTTACCACAGGTCTCACAACAAAAGGGTTTCTTACTGGAATACATCATGTTTTACATACAAGGATGTAAAAGCTATCATATAGGTTTCACTAGGAAATGGTTTCCCTCAAGAGCTCATCCTTTAATGATGATTCAGCTCGGAACCAGATTAACAAGCTTCGTCACAGAGTAACCATAAATGCCTACAGTTTTTGTCCGTTTTTCTGACGTGCTTATCTTGATGGCATACTAAAAAATTGCATTGAGTTCTTCAAGCATATGTTACAGAATGCTACAGGCTATGAATGCATCATCACATGGGCTGGATGTTACCCTGCTGTAGTCCCCCTCCTTCATAGATTCTAAATGTTCAGATTGCAGACAGGAATCCACTTGCCTCGTTTTCACCAGCAGACTGTGTGGGAAAATACAAACAAAATGAATATGCTGCCGCTTTACTGCTACATTTTTATCCCATATACAATGTGTTTGATGTGTGCTTTAAAGGGAATATAGAACATTTGATTTTGCTGTAATTTTCAGACATGGATCGATTTGGAGGGCATTATAAAGCGAATCATGGTGCTGTCGGCAAAATAGAACATGAAGAAAGGAGAAGGAAGGGGAAAGGAAGTGGGAAGAAGAAAAAATGGAGAATGTCATTATTTAACACTGCTGTTAAAAAAAACCCTGAATTTAACATCTGGTTCTGCAACCTATGGCAAATTATTCTACATTCTGTCATGTTGAAGTTGAACTTACTGAAAAAGTAAATCCATTCAAAGTAATCAACATAATTACCCATTCATATTTGTGGAGGAAAGTAGAAAAGGCAGTTAAAGGATAGGCAGATTCAATTGCACACATTTTGCGTGACGGTCCGTCGGCAAATTTCATGATGGCCCCCCCCCCCACCATTGAAAATGGTCTAGCAACACCTGTGGTTTTTGTAGTCTGGTTCCCTGACCCCACTAATGAAACGGAGCAATTTATAGACATCTGTGAATTGTAAGGGCAGGGAACCATCTGGCTTGTACTTGTTCAAAGACAGGTAATCGGTTGCAAACAATTGCGGTAATTAAATATGGTAACTTGGGGGCAGTGTTTACAAAAACTCATTTTTTTCCAACTCTGGTTGGCCGACCAGCGTTGGAAATTGAGACAAAAATATTCTTGAAAATTTTAGCACACCGGCCAGGTGCAATGATTTTAAAGGATGTGATTTAGAATGTCATTCACTAACTGTCCAGTAAGTTATTAATTTGGTAGTTTTGCTTTTTGATATTTTCAAATGTTGTATATTCCCTTTAATCTAAAAATGTGTTGTTTGTTTCTTTAAAATGTACTTTCCTTAGTTTTGTGTATTAGTTTCTAGAATTATACTTACAATGGTACAGATCTATCTGCCTTCAGTTTTCCATTCAACAATCAGCAAAAATGATGTGATCGATACATGTAGGTCTGAAACATATTTCAGAAAAGATTATGTACCGTTAATAACTGATAAGATATGATACACTTTAACATCAGTCTGTACTACAATTAACATGGTTGAGGTCAGAATAGTTAAGAGGTCGCAACTAAAGTTGGGACTGTTCCAACTGCATTTCTGAAAGTGAATGGGACTTTGAATGAAAAAACCTTTAGGCATAATTTTATAAATCTAGATGATGTATACTCTGGTTTATCAATTTCTGTACAGTAAAAGTATTTTACTATTGCAGTACTCACTCCAACGGATTCCAACAAACCCTGGTGTTGGAGTTCGACTGGATGGGAATTGTAAGTGCCTTGCAAAAACACCCTGTCGCATTTTATGCCCTTATTCCAACCAAACTACTTTGGTAGCGGTAGCTCCATTACCTAGTCCGAAAATTTGGGACTCTTAATACTGTGTATGAGAGTCCCAAAACTTAAGCCTTAGGTACTGAAAACATGCAATACAAGAAAATAGACTGGCACATGAACCATACAGTCCAACAACTCTTCAGTACTGCATTAATCGGGTCCTACTAAAGCGCGTCAACAAGCGTCATTAAGTGAACGGTCGTTAACGAGCATCAACAAATTTTGTACATGCTTTTGAACATTAAAAATAGCTTTATATGGTAGAAAAAGCAATAAAGAAACCAAAACCAAGTTTTTAAATAATTTTAACTTTAATTGATATATGCAGAAAATGTTCTTTGTTGCTTTTTCTACCATATAAAGCTACTTTTAATGTTCAAAAGCATGTACAAAATTTGTTGATGCTCGTTGACGACCGTTGAGGCTTGTTGACGCTTGTTGACGCTTGTTGTCGTGCTTTGGTAGGACCGCATTAATCAACTGTCAGCTGACTGTGCCAAAAGAATTATATAGGATGTTGGGTACCATACCACTATTTCTGCACATTTCCCCTTCAGGCACCAGACTAATGACATTGAATGAAGAAGCCAGTCATGTCAAACAGTTGGACCATGGATGGACATGTAGAAGTCTAGTCTTTAGCCTCATTTTGAAATCACTTGACTTCCTTCTCTTGTGCAAGCTACTGCCAAATATTGAAGAAAACTCTCCTTTAAAAATGGAATTGAGTTTTCAAACTTGGTTGGTGAAATACTGAGAAACTATTATTTTACCCAGTAACAGATTTGGATAAATTTGCTGGTTAAAGAGTGAGTCAAGTTGGCCTGATCACTTTGCATCGTTTTGAGCACTTAAGGTCCCAGTCTGCTCCATTACCATATAATTTTGACCAACTATTCAATGAAAATGCTTTTAGATGGAATGGTCAGATCCCTTAATGTTTTGGTCCAGCAACGAGAACCAACTATTGGCATTATTTTGTACAAGAACTTTGCATTGGTTGGCCCATGGAGCTAGGTTCTGTCAAATTTGTTTTTGAACAAAAAAAATATCAAAATTAGCCGAAAATCGGCTAAAACGGTCACCCGTGGCGTTTTCGTTCTAATCTAGTCATGTAGGCCCCAAGTCTATTCCATTCGTGACATGTTTGTTATTGTTAATCTGTTCCTTGCTCTATGATTATGATGCTATTTATTTATAAACCTCATCAATAGGGGAACCGTCTCCTAAACTCTACAATTGCTATTTGAAGCAAAATCTATAATACATTTCGTTTAAGTTTCAACAACATTAAAAACTTCAATGATTTTGGTTACAAACCTACCGGAAGCCAGGACCAGGTTGCCAGCTGAATGGTACGTTCATTCATTCACGATCACGTACGTAAAAAAGTACACGACGTCTGTCATGTCTGTACAGTACACATCGCGCGCGCAGCGAAAATCCCTCATAAATAGCGCCCTCTCGTGAAGCTGCTCAATATAATTTGGGATAAGTGGGGAGATATTTTTTTTTAAAGGTTAATTTTAGAGTAATAAGATGTTTTTTGAGTAGAAGTTTGTAATATAGCTATTTTAAGCTCTGGCAACGTCTTCTACAATATATTAAGTCACTTTGGTGTCAGTCGGTCCCCCCCCCGAAAAAAATTGACCCAAAACGAACCCATAATGAAAACCGTCACTAGTACTAACAATGAAGAAAGAAGTACCAAATTGTACATGTGCAATTGTTAAAACAAAATACATGTACATGAGATATTTGACAATAATTGTTTGTTACAATTAGTGGCATTGTTTATGATTTTTTTTAATAGAGGAAAGATAACGTGTGATAAAGTAATCGACATTCACACATGAAATATGGGGGCTAGATAGGGGGCTTATTCGTTGGTTCCCAGGTGACAGACCTTTGCTCTGGCCTCAGGCCCCTACAGGCGCGGATCCAGGGGTGGGGTTTTTGGGGTGCCCCCCCCCCCCCCCCCCCCCCCGCCCAGCTCTGTCAAAAAACAAAACAAAACAAAAATTCCTCAAAAGTAATGCAACCCCCCCCCCCCCAAAAAAAAAAAAAAAACCTGTGTACATTTTCAGATTTTTTTTTGGCTGATGATGAAAACCACCCCCTGCAAAAATTCCTGGATCCGCCCCTGCTCTGAGTAACTTATGGGTCTCAAGCATAGAGCTATTATATTTGAATTTGATATACATGTAGCTCAAGGGTATATGTGCCATCGGCGCTGCATGCAGTTTCCAGCTCTGACAGGGATCGTTTTCATCGAGTTCATTAGTGCCAGACTTCTTGCAACACCGCCAGAGCTTATTAAGCACTCGCACTTGTTTACCTAATTCGGGGGTGCTGAATCCGGATCCGAAAATGATGGATACCAAGCTGATTCATGGGATTAAAGGGGCCATGACCGCGAAATTAAAAAGCATTACTTTTTTAAATGTATAGATTGCTATCAGGAGCATGTGCCCTATTTTGAACAGAAGTTGGCAACATATAGCCATTGTACCTAATTCGGGGGCTCTGAATCCGAAAATGATGGATACCAAACTGAATGGACCGATCCAGTAAGCACCGCCCCATGGTATTCTGACCAATCACAGCCGTGATTTATGTCCGACATGCGTGCACAAAAGTCCGACATGCGTGCACGCGCGTACAGTGCGCGCGGCAGGAAAATGCAGTGTGGCATTGGAGAGGAGCACGTAATAATTTGCCCACGTGCGCAGTGGGCGGGGCGTACTGGATTGGTCCATTCTCAGCTTAACGTGGCATTATTGCAATTTCAAAAAGAAGAAACGCATTTCGTTTTAAATGTATACATTTTCCAAAATTGTTTGCTCATTTCAAGGTGCCGAAAACAGCTACATAAATGAATACCTGAAAACAGAATTTGTTGATTACACTGTCGCACTGCAGTTTTAAGCTCCTTTCTACAAGCACTGTGACAAAAGTTTCTTTTGTAATACTATGCTGTGAACCAGAAGCCCAGAAGAGGATTTATTCTTTTGCAAAGGGCAGAAACAAACATGTTACCGAGTTTAGGATAGATAAATAAGAACA